TCGGGCTCCCTGCTCAGCGGGAAGCCTGCTTCTCCCTCTCCCACTCCCCCTGCTTGTGTTCCCTCTCTGGCTGTCTTTCTCTCTGTCAAATAAATAAAAAACCTTTAAAAAATAAAAAATAAAAGTAGTATCTATCTGCTTATGCCCACAATGATTCTGTACTTTTTAAAAGTGTTTTAAATACTTGAAAATTTAGAAAAAAAATTATTTTAAAAGCACTGAAATAGAAAGTTGCTTTGATTGGAGCAGATTGGCAAATCAGCTTCCTGGTGCTACAGTTCTCTGACAAAGACACAGGGAGGGTGGCATCTGCATGAGAAAAATCAGAGTAGGTGGCAACTTTTCCCAGGGGGGACACAGCCTGAACCTCAAAGTCTGAGAATCAAATTTGCTCTTGAGCAATCGGGCCCCTGCAGTGACTCCCGGGGGCCCCAAGGATGCCCCCGTAGCACGCTATTTCTCACCAGCTCCCCCGGCAGGCCCCTCTGGCTTCTGAGGACAACACATACAAAAGAGCAAGTCTCATATTTGTTCAACCTACTATAAAGAATAAACTTGAACATAAAAATCGTATTTTAATTAAAAATTTTTGAAATCTTTCTGCATAATAACCTTGTAAGTAAAGTGTATCCCCACCAGTTTCTTCCATCATAGGTCCTTCCATTTAAACTATAATAAAAAAGGTTACCTGTAAAGAATGTTCTGCGAGGTGAATCCCACGGATGAGATTCAGAGCAGCACACATGATGTTGAGAATAAGCGAGAGGACACCCAGGGCTGTCACTGGTTCCATTCGGAAATTAGGAGCTTCACAATTAAAAAAAATAAGTGTCTAGTGAAAATAATTTCTATATGAAAGAAAAATAAACAAAGACATTAACTAGACCTCCACTAATGATAGGCTCAGTATGTTAAACACAGAATTACAAACGTATTAATTAAAAGCAGCTGCTGTTAGAGAGCATAAAAGGCGAGAAATGAAGGACAGAATGGAACTGGGAATCCGAAGTGAGTTCTTCCAGAAAGAGGTCCTTCTCTGAGTAAGCACAGGTTTTTCAAGGCCTGATTTTCTTTCTGTCTAAAGCAGTGGTTCTCAGCCAGCGGCGATTAGCCCCTCAGTGGACATCTGGCAACGCCTGGAGACATTTTGGGCTGTCAACACCGTGGACAGGGTGTTACCAGCATCTAGTGGGTATAGGCCATGAAGGCTTCTCAGCATCCTACAATGCACAAGACAGCCCCTCACAACGAGGGATTATCCAGTACAAAATGTCAATACGGCTTAGATTGAGAAATCTTGATTTAAAGCAATTTATGGCTTTACTTGTAAATGGGTTGTCAAATTCTGACAGCATTTCTATCATATACTTCAACTCTCAACTTCTAAACAAGGACAGTATTCAATGTCTCCTGTGCTTCTAAAGCAATCTGCAGCACATGCAGTTTCTTACATTCTAAAATAATTGGGAAGAGGAGGGAAACATTGATTATTTGAGCTATAAGCTGTTTCTGGAACTCTAGAACAAATGATCATTCTCTCTTCAAAGATACCTGCTAAGACTGATTCCGGGTCACACAATTAAATGGTGACTCCCCCCCACCCCCATTCTCTTACTGTGATCTTTTAAAACCATCCTTTCTTGTCCCACATTTCCCACATACACACACACACAAACACACACACACACACACGCACACACATACAAATATCTAGCCACAACCCAACTGATGCCTATTGTTAGTGTGTTAGAGTTTCCATTGAGCTATCAAAGTTCCTGTTAGAACAGAACATGCTACCTGTAAAGATTCTAGCCTCAGGACAATAGGGTGAGTCAAACCACAGTAAAATGTCCTAGAAAGATAAGCAAGTTGACATTTTCTGGATTTTGCTTCTCTTGTCTAAGTGGTTAAAAAACAAAACACATATTACAAAGTTACCCCACCTTTACATAAGGCAAAAGAAGAAGTTTGGGGCTCAAATACCCAGTCTTCCTTCTACAAAAGTTAAGTCCATTCCCAATATAAATGACAACTTACTGATTGGCATAAGAGCCAATCCAGTAATGTATTGGTTGAAACAGATTAAATCAAAACACAAAGGTAAGCCAAAAATGTGAACATTTTTAATACACCACTTTTAAAGTTCAAGCAATGAGTTTAGTATAAAAACTGTTAAAATCATTAGACTGTTATAGTGTAGACAACTCTATCTCTCAAAGAAGGATTCAGTTCTTACACCATTACAGAATACTTAGAATGTAAATATCCACTTTAATTAAAAATTGGTTTAATTGTGTGTAATTGTAACAGGGAATGCAAAAAAAAAAAAAAATCATGCTTTGTTACGTGCTAGGTATTGAGTGGCTAATGGTGTTAATGCCAGACTGCGTCACGGGATGCCAAGGCACTCAGCTTGGAAATCCATAGGGACAGAGGGATGTCCCCAGGGCTCACGGGGAAGCAGACAGTGAGAGCACTAGAAGCCGCAGCTCTGGTCCTGCCTACTCACATCCCCGCAGCCCTTCCCTCCCTCCGTCAAGGGGGACAGGGGTGTCTCAGTGGAGATTTGCAACGTTGCACTAAGTGATAAGATGAGATAAGGATTCACTGTCAAAGGGAAAAATAGAGAGAGAGGAGAGAGAGAGAGAGAGCATGTACAAATCTAAGGAAGTGACATCCTTTATGTTTAAACTTGTAAACTTCATCCTGGTTAAGAAAACAATCTGCCTAGTCACTCTTCTGAATGTCATCATGAGTTGCCCCCTCCCCCAGTCAACTCACTATCATAACAGTCAAGTATTTTGTAACAGTCACCTGGAAACAGGATCAGTCCATATATTTCCCCACATATTTTAAAGATTTTATTTATTTTTTTGACAGAGACACAGAGAGAGAGAGAGGGAACATAAGCAGGGGGAGTGGGAGAGGGAGAAGCAGGCTTCACGCTGAGCGGGGAGCCCGATGCGGGGCTCGATCCCAGGACCCCGGGATCATGACCTGAGCCGAAGGCAGACGCTTAACGACTGAGCCACCCAGGCGCCCCTCCCCACATATTTTATATACCCACCCCCAAAAAACACCTCCCTGATTGGGAAAAAAAAAGTCACTGTCCATTTGAAATACCTAACGTCACCTCATCTTCATCAACACCAGAGCACAGCAAACCACTTACCAGGCTCCAAGTGTATCTGTGTGTGACCGTTCATTAGCCCATTTGCCACATCCGTGTCCTCCAGAGTGAGAACCACTGGAGGCTGGAACTCCAGCTCCTCCTGAATTTTTTCCAAGCTGCTCTCCATCTGAATGGAACTTACATGGTTAAAATGCCACTTCACGTTCTGAATGATACTGTCTGCAGAAAAGAGAGCAACCCAAGTTAAGCAGCTGCAACGAAATGGGTATCATAGAACAGTATGTGCAAAATGAAGTTTACATTTCTAAGCAAGCTAGTAGGTCAGCCAGAGTATCGAGATATACCTAAAGGTCAAATGATTACTATGTGTCATCACTGGTCTCATCGATTTCTTCAGTGCATAATACTTAAAACATGAGTGTCCATGGAGAAGGCAACAATGCCTTCCAGAACCTCAGTGATGAGGGAGTCAAGGGCTAGGGGCTTGAGTCCGAGCTCAACCACTGCCGGTGGTACAACCCAGGGCGATTCACCGACTGTTTGAAAGCTTAAAAAGGGGAGAGAGTTATTCTTGAGCTAACTGTCCTAAAAAAAGGCATGTGAGAAAAAAATTACAAATAAATGTGGATATACTGTGTAAACTAAGACTGTATATTTTAAAGTATTAATCCATTAAGTTTTAACAAGTATTTGAAGTAGAGTTTCATACATATTGGCAAAGCAAAATGATGCATAATGCATACCTAGAATCACTACTATTATATTCTCCTCTCACTCAGTAGGGAGCACGCATGACGCTGGGGCAGGGTCTGCTGTCAGATCAAGCACAGCACTTTAGAAGGAAGGCACATGTAGAGCCGAGGGGGGAGAAGAACAGTCCACGGCTGCTAATGGACTGACAACCAAGGGACGCCACAGCTGTGGTCTGTCCGGGGCCAGAGTGCCCTCTTTGCAGGAAGAAGTGGGGCTGAGAGCACCAGTGAACCAGGCCTCACAGGGAGACTTGGGGAGAACCTTCTGCCTGTGTCACAGGTCTACAGGCAGAGGCCTGCGTGCCAGGGACTTCCCCAGCACCTCTTGGGTGACAAAGAAATGCACCAGCCGGTGGGCCCCATGAGGGAGTCTGAGGGCTCTGGCAGGAGCTCCAGAAAGCACACGTGGCAACACTTCTCTGCACCCACCAACTGCGGCCAGCCCCTCGTTCGAGAGCATCACAGAGATGGCAGCTGCCTACATAGAGGCCGCAAAAGGCCCCCCAACTCCCACCTCAACTCCTGTTCTCCCAAGAGCTCAGGATGACTTGACTCACCTGAGAAAAACAGAGCGTACACTGTAATTATCAAGCCTCTACGAGGCCTCTCTGTCAACGCCTAGGAAAAAACTATCCTCTTCCAGAGCAGTATCTCTCAGACCTCTGAGCGAAGGGCCAGTTTTTCTTATTTCCAAATGGTTGCAGACTGATACTTTGATAAAATGCAATAAAAAGACTGCAGGTGGGGCGCCTGGGTGGCTCAGATGATTGGATGTCTGCCTTCGGCTCAGGTCATGGTCCCAGGGTCCTGGGATCGAGCCCCACATCGGGCTCCCGGCTCAGCGGGGACCCTGCTTCTCCCTCTCCCTCTGCCTCTCCCCCTGCTCATGCTCTCTCTCTCTTTCTGTATCTGTGTCTCAAATAAATAAAATCTTTAAAAAAAAAAATTTGTGTGGGAAGGCAAAGAAACTTAAATAGCTAAAACAACTTTGAAAAAGAATAAAGTGGAAGGAACCATGCTATCCTATTTCAAGACTTATTCTATAGCTACACTAGTCAAGATTGTGTGCTATTGGCAGAGGAATAGACACAAAGATCAAGAGAACAGAATAGAGAACATAGAAATAGACCTACAGAAGTACAGCCAAATGGTTTTTGACAATGGTGCAAAAGCAATTCAATGGAGGGAGGATAGTTTTTTCAATAGTTGGTGCTGAAGCAATGGATATTTACAGGGGAAAAAAAATTCCTGACCTAAACCTCACACCTTACATAAAAATCAACTCAAAATGTGTCATAAATGTAAATCTAAAAAGTAAGACTATAAAAATGGAAGAAAATACACGAGGAAATCTTCAGGACTTGACGAAGAGTTCTTAGACATGATACCAAAAGCATAATCCACAAAAGAAAAATCAGTAAATTGGAGTTCGTCAAAATTAAAAATATTCAATCTGCAAAACCTCATGTGAAAAGGATGAAAGGACAATTCAGAGACTGGGAGAAAATATTTTATAAACGACATATCATTGGTTTATAAATGGGCAAAGTACATGAACAGACATTTCACCAAAAAGAATACATGGATGGCAAATAAGCACAGGAAAAGATGTTCAGCATCACTAGCAATTAAGGGAAAAGTAACTTAAGATCACAATGAGACAATACTACATACCTATGAGAACAGCTAAAAGTTTTTAAAGTGAAAATATCAAATGCTGGAAAGGTGTGCATAGAAACCGGCTCTCTCATACTTTACTGGTAAGACTATAAAATGGTAGAGTCACTCGGGAAAGTAGTTTGGCAGTGTCTTTATAAAACTAAACATGCAATTAACATATGATCTATCAATCACACTCCTGGGCATTTATCTCAGAAATGAAAATTTATGTCCACACAAAAACTGTGTACAATTGTTCTTAACAGCTTTATTTATAACAGCCAAGAACTGGAAACAACCAAATATCCTACAAATTGTGAATGGTTAAAAAAAAAAATAACAGTACATTCATATCATGGAATACTACTCAGTAGTAAAAAGAAAGGAACTATTGAAACTCAAAACAACTGGGATGGATCTCAAAAGCACTGTGTTGAAGGAAAAAAACCCAATCTCAAAAGGTCACGTACCATAGGAATCCTTTTATGTAACATTCTCAAAATGACAAAATTAGAGATGGAGAAATGATTAGTGGTTGCCAAGAGTTAGGGATGGTGGGGAGGAGGGGAATGGGTGTGACTAGAAAGGACAACAAGAGGAAGATCTTTGTGGTAATGCAACAATTTTGTATCTTGACTGTGATGGTGGTTATAGGAACCTACACTGTGGTAAAATGGCATGGAACTATATACACTTTATATCGATGTTAATTTCCTAGATTTGACATTGTACTATACTTATTATGTAAGATGTAACCAATGGGGGAAACTAGGTAAAGGGTATATGGGACCTCTCTATACTATCTTGGCAACTTCTTATAATTACTTTTAAATAAAAT